ATATATATATTCAAATATATATTTTTACCTATTTTTTAGTTAGAGTATTATACTAAAATTTTAGGATAAGAAAATCATTCATTTCCTTTTATTTGATTAATTTGTATAAAGGATATTATCTTAATTTAATTTAATTTTAAAAGAACATAAAACAGTTTCTCTCTCTCTTATTAACTTCATTCTCTAGCTCATTTCTCTCTCCTATTAAATTTTTTCTCCAACTCATTTCTCTCTTTCTTATTAAATTATTCTCTAACTCATTTATGTTTCTCATACTAAATTCCTTCTGTAACTCATTTATCTCTCATTTCTCATCTTTCATGATATCCCCCTATCTCTTTGAATAAGTAAAAATTAATTAATAGAAAAAGAAAAATGAGTTAAAGAATAAAATTAATGAGAGAGAGAAAATATTTTATTTTCTTTTAAAATTGAATTAAATTACTATAATATCTTTTATACAAATTAATCAAATAAAAAGAAATGAGTGATTTTCTTGTCCTAAAATTTTGGTGTAAGTTGTTAATATATACTCCAACTAAAAAATAAGTGAAAGTATATTAGCAATCCCCATGAATATATATTATATTTGATTATATATATATATATATATATATATATATATATATATATGCTGCTCGCATAAATCTGACAAGCGACATATATATTATTGAAAATACTATATATTTGCATATTTTTTTTAATCTTTTTTTTACTTATAAATGTTATGTTACCAAATATCATATCACTTAAGAAAGAGTTAACGTTAAAATATAACGATTAGTAAATATCAATTTTATAAGAGGATCAAAAGTTTGCATTTTTAAAATTAGATGAATTAAATATCTCTAATTTTAAATTAGAAGAACTAAAATTGCGAATAGATAAAAATTGATAGATTAAAATGTAATTTAATCAAAAACTTAATTTGTTAATGCAATATTTGTTAGGTTAGATAAAATCTCTTCCGAACTAGTTATAGGAAAATTAAAAAAAGAAAAAAAAGAAGGTAAATTTCTATATGATTAAATTAACTTGGTGAATAAATTAAAAATAAGATTTTAGAGAAGTTAATAGAAAAAAATTCTACAAATTAGCCAAAACATAAACTAATTTTAGCTTATAAAAAAAAACTTAATCATTTTTCTTTCTATTTTTTTCTTAGAAATATTTTCAAAAAAATTTACCCTAACAAACTTTTTATTAATTGATTTTAATATATAGTTAAATAATATAATAAAATAAATACATAACTTATATTGAAATATATTTCACTATTATTTTTAAATAAATAATATTAGTTAATATAAAAAAATTCCATCCAAACATATAATCAACTCCTCATGCAATTCACAATAATAACCAATCACAATAATATTATCATTACATATATCCACTAACTAAAATCACTACAATCACATCATCATACAGTTCATGCATCATGCTCATGTTCACATCAATGCATATGAATTGCAAACTCCTAAGAAGCATCAACTTATAATGTCGCATAATGGCTGAAGTTTGTCAATCTCCTCAAGTACCACCATGCATGGTCACACCGTTTACATTATTTATGATCAATATTTATCATTGTTAATCATTACTTATGGTCGGTGTATAAATAATGCATCCCACACCATTTACATCACTTATAACCGGTATCACACTGTTAATCACCACTTATGGTCAGGATAAATGTATATGCAACATGCATCAATGCTCATGCCATGTCACCTCATACTTACATTCTTTCTATCCATGCTAATGCACAATTAATAATAAGCCACATCCAACCACATTTATATATTAATTCATTGAGACACACACCATTCATACTCATTCATATAATAATCATTAATACTAGACATCATACAATTCACATCCATCATCAAAATTCATCAATATAATATCATATTTCACAATTTCACATCAAACTCATTAAATCATATCATAAATATTATAAGGCATCACTAAGAAATCATAAAGTATCACATACATGCCAAAAAGGGGTTCCAAAATGTAAAAAACACAAACTGAAACAAAACACCCATGTCGGGCACCATAAATCCTAACAACTTGACTTGTACTTACTATTTTAACCATAACTTGAGTTATACACATCCTTTTTGAGTGATTCCAAATCCATTGAAAAGATAACATCAAAGGCTACAATTTTTGTGAAGACCATGAAGCCTAAAAATGTCTTTAAGGTCACCTCGTATGGATGACAACAAAAAACTTAATATTTTGCGCACTAAAATGGAGACTGGACTTATAACTCACATAACTCGATTATTTTTAACGTTTTTAGACGATTCTAAAATCTAAATTATAATCCCAAGTGTCTAATTTCTAACCCAACAAACAAAAATTGATTTGATTAATCACACAAAAAGATATTACAAAATATTAAGGTACATCCATAAGTAAAATCTCAATCACTTATTAATTCATATAATTAAGGGTATTCACCAATTTACAAGAACCCTAGCTTGCAAAGCACATCCCAATGAATTCAATTATCATCTAAATCATCAAATTTACCAAACAATATAACAATTACATTTATAAATCAATATAAAACCCAATTCAATCATCAATTTCAGAGTCAAAACAGAAAACGAGAAATTTTAGGAATTTAGGAATTTTCTCTCCTACCCATTCTCTCTCGTAATCCCACATATGAATGAATTCATTTTCCTCCCCTACCTTATTGTAATGACAAGAACATTCCAATGTAGTTTGAAATAATTTTGAGCACTCCTCCCTAGAGCTCTTTCATTCTCTTGCTTCTCTCTTTGAGTCCTTCAGAATACAAATGAGCAAATTAGGGAAAACTTTGTCTAATCCCTCTCTTAAAAATTCACTGAATCGGGTCAACCCGACCCGTTTACTTTCTCTCCTTAATTTAAAAAAAATAAATATAATAAAATAATTTCCCACGTGTAAAACTAAATAACAATTCTGACTATAATATAATAATATTATTATTTTAAAAAAATAGAATGTTACAGTAACTATACGTGAAATAAATATATACCTACATATATTATATTTATAATAACATTTTTTTGTATGTTACTATATATAATATTTCTTGTAGTGGATGTTGAAAAATTTATAATTTTATTTTAAAAAAGTATAGAACATAAAAATATTGAAACTATCGGATAAAACAAAAAAAGACCGAAACTATTCGAAATAAATTTTAAGTGTCCATCTTTCGAAATCTTAACTTATCATTAACATAATAGCATCTTGTTTGCTGAGGTCCTTCAATAAAATTTCAGTTGTTTGAAGCAACTCTTTGGAATCTTACGTGACGACGAAAGTGTTGTTTTAATTTATTTTTTTGTTCTTTCAATAAACAACCATTCTTTACCATTAAAAAACAGTATTTTGAACTCACTGGAAACCTCCAAACAGTTATTATATAATCAAGTCAAAATTTTAAAAATATAAGATTATGAGTTTCTTAAAGTTCCTTATAATTTCTTCCACCAGAACAAAATTAGGTATAATTAAGTTACTTACGGATGATATGGGAAAGTAAAAATCACTAACGACACTTTTAGATGTAATAAACAACATGTGAGTTGTTCTCAATAGTTGTCCTAATCAAATTTCTAGAAGAATGATAGTGTCAACTTAAATAGTTAAAGTAAATTTTAAGAATTTTTTATTATTTAAAATGTGGAAAGTTATTTTTTGTAAGTATTAATAAAAAAAAACTTTTTTTTTTATTAATAAACTTAAACTTGAATTTGTAGTATTGGGTGCGTACACCCCTGCGAGAATGAATGATTAACACAATAGTCTAAACAAAGTTCAAAAGACAAAACGTGTAGGAAAA